AAGAACTTGTTCGCTATGCTTCAGAAGATTGGAGACTGATGAGAATTAGGCTTGGGGTGGATTAATGATTGTACATTGAGCATTGAGTCCCCTATACAGAATTTTATTGTTGTTAACAACCATTTGATCAATAAATATGAGAGAAGCCCTCTCAAAAAAAAAAAAAAAGAATATGTACACAGAAAAAAAAAGAATATTGTGTAGATATATTCCACTACTTAAATCAATTTTGAGAGTGCCTCGGACCCACAGAAGTAGAATGCATGCATTAATGAATAAGAAAAGCTAGCATTTACTGAGTACTAACTACATATGAAGTGCTTCATACTATATGGATCTATTTAATCCCAACAACTTTTCATGAGGCATGTATTATCGTCCTCATTTTACAGATGAGGAAACTGATGATGCAAGGAATGTTAACACCATGGATTGTGGACTCAGTGTCTGAAGAGAGAATTATCTTCACTTTAAAGCCTTGACCTTTCTACTGCACTATATCGGACTGCAACTTACCCAATCTTTATTTCTTCAGACTTCCTCCCTTTTATGTAAACCAATTCCATAGGTCTTTAAGTTCTGGAGTTGCTCTCATTTTACTGTACCAGGATATGTGATCTCTAGTAAAAAGGTATCGGTCCTTTAACTCATATTTTTCTAAAGGGTCCTTTTCTTCTTCGATTAGCAAAAGTAAAAGTTAAAATTTGTTCCAAAGGACCTTTTACTAGGAAACTAAAGAAAAACTGACAAAAACAAAACAGAGCAATACAGAAAGACACAAGTTGAGCAAAGTTAATTTTTATTTCAAACTTGAACTGTCTTAAATTACAATCAGTTCTTTCCCTTGTTCCAACTCTGTATGAAACAGATGCTAAACAAAAAATTTTTTATTTGAACTGCTTCCAAATTCGATGAACTCCTCATTTATTTCAGAAACTATGCCTTGATATAACCTCCCGGTTTGGACACTCTTTTACATTTAGCCATCAGGGGCAGAAACCTTCATTTTTGCTCTTTGCTTCTCCTGGCTGTTGATCTGCCTCAGTCAAGAAGGTACTTCTATACCTTGTCCCCAAACATTGCTTTCCTAGTTTAGTTATCCTGCATAAGTCTTAGGTACCACGTTTACCACTATTCTGACTTACTTGTCCACAAAATGTTCACGAGCTTTCTGTCTAGCTATTTTATTTGAGCTAGATCCCTCCATTTCTCAGTTTCCTCATCTACAAAATAATTGGACTGAAGTAGATAGATTCTTTGAAGCTCTAAAATTCAGTAATTAAATGTCTAAACTACTTATAAATCAATATTCAATGAATACTTCTGTATTTCAAACATGTCCTCAATCAAGCAGTATGTGAGATTTCAGTTCTTGGGTATAGGCATTACATTCTATAGTATATACTACATAATGCAAAGTAAAGACTATCTTTGACTATGTTTGAATTTGTACTACTTTTAAAGAACATATCATATGAACTCTTCCTTCAGAAGTCACACACAAAAATTTCCCACTCTCATTTCTTCTAAATCATACTGCTCTACCACATATGAATGAAAGAAAAGTTGGTATCAAGCTGGTTTTTCTAGATTGTCTCCAATGTTCAAAATACAATCAAGGATAATTATTTTCCCATAAAAAATGAAATTTCTGTTAAGTTAAAAGAAAGTTGAGGCCAAAGAGAAACACTCAGTAAAAGGCCCTAAAATTCATTAGGTGAGGAAGCACACTCCCTTCTTACTAGATTATTTGCCATCTTAATTTTAAAAATTATTTTTTAGGGACATTTAGAAATTATGTTATTCCTCCATTCAACTATCACAAATATACATACTCCGAGAAAACTCAGAAAAAATACACTTTTTAAGCAATTCTTACACACTACTTTTTATTTTTACTACTATTCTGGATATCTTATGAAGGAGTGAGAAATAACATAATGACTTTAGGGGAAGTGTTTATCTAACAATTCATGATAAAGAAAACTATTTCACAAAGTATATCAGTCAGAATGTTTTGAAGGTTAGTAAATTATTTTTAGTTAATAAAAGAATGGCACAAAAATAAGCATGAATACAATGAGTATATTTTATGAATGAATGACATTTATATATTTTTTTCTGGGAATAATTTTTAAGTTTTCCTTTCCAAAGTAAATTAGAAATATGCAAAAAATATACCAATGAAAGCTTCAGTTTTAAGCTTAGTGTTTGGGTTCATAAGTATAATAAATATTTTTTCACAAAATCCTTTAAAACTCCTACTTATCCATTCTTCCCACAAAATACTAACTCTTACCATCGAAAGACTAGCATTTTCACAGGTCAATCTCAAAACAAGTTATCTGAATGTGCTTTTTTATTATAATGAAGCATCAAGTGTTTTTCTTATCATTATAAATTATCATGTTTAATATAGTAGATAATGATAAATCTACATTATTTAGTTCACTGAAAAGAGCTATTCTATGAAAAAAGACATTTTTAAGATGTTTTTATGTTCTAGGCTAGAAATTAAATCTGTATGATAATGAAAGGAAAAATGCTACAGAGAAAGATGATTTTATGGTAATTTCCAACTATTTAAGCACTGTTTTAATCAATTTATACACATACATACATACACAATCTGTGATGGCTTTACTGTTTCAAAGAATAGACAAAATTTGTCAGAAATAATGTGCCAGGTACCTCACAAAGGCTGACTTTAATTTTCAATAATTAACTCTTTCTTTAGATCTTCTTCTTTTAATATAATAACCTTTCCACATTTCAAACATCCAAACTCAAGGAAAAATAAACAAAAACAATAATTTTCTATAGTTTTCTGAACTTCTCAAAAGAAATGTTGTTAAAGTAAATCAAGGAGTCAATAAATTAAATCTCATACTGAACATAAGTTCTAAAATTCACTGAATATAGGTTAGATATCTTTTAAAGGATAAACACAGGATGAGACATGTCTCATCTTCTTACTTTTAAGATAATTTTTACAAAAAAAATCTAATTATACACTGAAAGATTCTTTAAAGACCTCTGAGGTACGGGCAGTTAAAATCTATAAAGGCTAAAGGTTTCTTAAGCTCCAATGGCTTGGCTCAAAGGTTTTCTTCCATACTTGGAAACTTGATTAGCATTATATAAAAAAGCCATATCTGACTTGCTGCGTAACCAAAGTTGTGGTTATTCTTTATACAGCATCTAAAATTTCACACTCCATCAACACATGTTCAGCCTATTTTATCTTGGCAATTAATTTATTATTTTTCAGAACACAGTGAAGCCTTGTTTTCAAGTCATTCATAACTTTATAAATCAGTCTTGCATATGAAACCATGCAACTGTGAACCGTAGAAAATTCTTGCACTCAGGAGATTAAGCTCTTGACACCTTTGCTGATTAATAATCATGGAAAGAATAAGATCAGAAGCAAAATAAATGATCATTTAATAGAGAAACTCACAAAACAGCCCTTTAACTTACATATTCCATCATGTTATTCGTTTCACATTTCCTTTTGCTCAGTCTCCAGTGCAGGCACAGCTAGACAAGTAGGAGAGTAAAAGAAGAAAAATGAGCTCTGTTTTATTGCAGCACACAGACTAACCCATTTGTCCACCTTTCATATTTTTAGTTCAACAAAAGCATCTGTTACCATACTGCGCAATTCAGACCCCAACAGTACGAAGCTGCTCCCTGTGGTACTCACCTTGTGGTATAACCTATTGTTTTCCCATTCTAATAACTTCTCAATCGATCTTCGTGTCTGGAAGACAAATGAGAAAGAAGTTTACTCTTGACTGGTTTTAGAAAAACTTTGTTTTGCAGCTGCTTTCTGTGTGAAAAGGAAAGAAACACAGACAGTGACTGAGTATAGGGTGGTCTATAACAGTATCAACATTCTAGTACTAAAGAGTGACCTGAACAGAAATAGCATCCTATTTTAATAAAGATGTGGTTTTGTTTTTTATTAGCACTACATCTTTTTTAAACTGTTTCAAACTTACTAGCCTCTGATTTAAAACTATTGAAGTATAAAAAGCTAATGTTAACTACCAAATTATATAAATTTAATCCTGATTTCTTTAAAAATATTTTTGTACTATGTAAACAGCACTGTAAGTTCATCAATATATATTTTAAAACCAAGGTTATTTAAGTGTTAGTTAACAAAATGCAAATGGCCTTTAGGGCAAATTCAAAAAGGAAACAATTAAAAGTTAATAAATGAAAGAAATCAATTAGTTATCAAACTACTTTCACATTGTACTTAAAAATAATGACCAAATTTAAAAGCTAATTTATTATTCCACAGATAAAGATTTTCAGAGAGAGGCAAAACTGTATTTAAACAAACAAAAAAATGACAGCAAATCAAACTCTCAATAGTACTGTTAAAGGAATCAAATGAGAAATTTACATTCAAGATCACTTGTTTTTTGCAATATATGCTATGCAGCATGAAATATTCTTACTTGGGAATATGAATAAAAGAGGGGATAATTCATGGTGCCAGGTGTTAGGATGAAACTGACACAGCTGCAGGTGCAAAAAGGACAGTGATGCCACAAGGATCAACTGCAACTTGGTGCAGCTGCAATTTCCTTGCAAAGGAAGAAAAAAAGCATCTAGTGCTATTAATATGGCACAACTAAAGTCCTAATAAATATGAAAATATGCATTTCAAGCAAGGATGAGCTAGGTGAAAAACAGTTGGGATGAAGAGGGTTTTGAATAGTGTTACATAATAAAATAGTTAATATTTATTTAAACATCTACTATAGTTACCTTATTACCTTTGAGCATGCTGAACATGCTGAAGACGCAGCATGTTCAGCATGTGTAGGTGTCAATTGTAGTACACAACTACAACAAATTACATTTTCGAAGCTTATTTCATAAAAATCAGAAAATCAACTTACTCTTTAGGTAATAATAAGCCAATGCAATGACTAATTTATTACATTACTTTTTCTGAACAGTTTTTTTTGGGGCAAGAATTTTAAAGGAAAAAAGTGCCCTTGTTAACAATGATCAGCAGACCTCACTTGTTTCTTTGTAAAGATAGCCTTTTAGAGGCAGCTCTCCTTTTAAATGAAAATAGGGCAGCAGTTATGGTCACACTTTTTGTTAATTTAGGTGCCAGTCAGCCCCAAATCAAAAGAAAATAAGGCTGCAGAGTGTAATTAACATTCAGTTCAGTCGTTTTGTCCCTTGTCTAGCCCCCAAGCTTTGTTAAAATTGCCATCTGAATGCTGAAGGCTGTAGGGAAATCGATTTGATTCTAATCGCACCATGAAAAGAACATGATCTAACTGCTTTCAGCCCTCCGTAAATCTGTACTAGGTCTTTAGCACAATGCAACTTCCAATTTAAAAAGCACTGAATGTCTCGTCAATGACTTTGTGAAGAAAAAAGAACAAGGAGCAGACATAAAAATTCCAATAGTTGTTTAAGCATTAAAGTTCATTTGCATCACAGCGAACCTGAAAAGGGCTGACCTCTCAAACCGCCTCTCAGGTCTATGAAGTTGTAGCCTTGACAAGCTCACATTGACAGAGCTCATTGACTCTGAAAGGCTACTCTATCAATGGGGAAAAATGGCAATAGGTTCTACTCCGAGCAGGCATCTGCCTGCCCACCCGCTGCTAAACCAATGGTAAAACCGATTCAAAACCTGAATCTACCTTGTAATCTTCCTTTCTGGGACCTTTTAATAATAGATTAAGATTACTATACAATTTGAAGTTTTACTTTTACTGATGGTTGAGAAGGGGAAAATGGGGTAAGAAAGAACAAGGATGGAGAGAACAAGATTTCCAAGGCTGTTGTTTTACATTAATGCATAAAATTAAGAGCTTAACATTACACTCTGCAAATACTCACTCAAAGAAAAAAGTGGAGTTGCTATCATTTCATCACAAATTTAAATCCATGCTATAAGGGTGGATCTCATTATGAATGGATCCCATGATGTATATGATACATAAACACAAACAATTCAGAAACTTAAAAATACTTACTTTAAATGACTTAACTACCAGTATTTTGAATAAAACATAATTATAAAGCGTGAATCTTAAACTCCAAAATATTTATGTAGGAATTCTGAATCTACTCTTTGCCTCTAATTAGGAGTTTAATGACAGGGTTTGATATAATAATTGTACTTACAATATTGAAGGTTTCTGAACCAAACCCTGGTAGGCCATGTTCTGAATAAACATCTAAATATAAAATATTTCTACACACTTGACAGTCTGGAGTAAAAGCTGTGAATTAGCACCCCCTAATCGTGTGGTTTAAGATTTCTTTCCTGCTTGACAGGTGAAAAAAAAGCACTTGCACGTGCAGCTTAATTAATCACTGCACTTGACATTTCGGTGATTTACAGTGAGGAGCAGGTGAGAACATACAAAACCAGAAAGGAACCCTTGATCAAAGTGAAACATTTCTAGCACACTAAGGTGACAAGAATGTAGATTCTAGCAGTAATGAAAAATTTTTAAAAATTAAAGAAAGAAACTGTGCCACAAATTATTTGTTAGTAACAACAAAAGCTTAAATTAAATGGGAAAAAAACTTTAACTACTGGGAATGTTTAATACTCTGCAATTATTTTCAGTTAACAAAATCAAAATATATTTTCAAGATTAAATACAATACCAATTTGGCAGATACTGAAAAAAATATATGACATTTCAGCATTTATAAAAGCTATTTAAAAGTCTTTAAACATGAAAAGAAAGCCTTATAATTGCAGTCATCTAGAAATAAGAGTTAAGAATTTAAGTCCACAGGGTTGTCAGATAGCTATTTCTAATAAAATGTAAAATTCAACTACCAAACTCTATAATGATCACTGGACAAGCAAATCTAACCATATAAAAATGTCCTTGATTTTTTAAAGGTTATATTAAAGGCTACCAAATTCAATACAAATTAAAGGAAACTAATAGGCATCAGGAAAAAATATGTATAGGGTTTGTCAATATGAAATATCCTCGCCCCCCCGAAAAAAAAATCTTTCAGTATTCTAGGCCAGTAGACTTCTAAAAACAAGTATCGTAATTTTCTTAAAAGAATTTGGTACTTGTGAAAAGCACCAGACTGACAGTCATGGGAACTAAAAATCTTCTATTTAACTGAAAGAACAGGGGAAAGGGCAGTACAGCCTTCAGTGCAAGCTTCCCTACAGTGGGCCTTAATCCTTTTCAGTGCTCACACCCTGGGGGTGAGAGGACAGGTTAGTGGTTCTTTACCAAAGAATCCTCAGTCCTCCTGTCTAAGATGATCAACAAGAAACCTTATTTTATCATAGATTATTATCCTTAATTAAAAAGACTAAGGCTCCCAGCTCACAATATGAAGCAGAACAAGTTTTTGATGAAAATGATGTCACGTCACTAACCTGGTCTGGAAGAGGAGAGCTCCAATCATCTGGGCCACCATCCATTCTCCCTCATCATACAGCTCACTTTTTCCCCCCACAAATTTGTCACTTCACACCTTGCTAATTATATTTTTCTCACTGGTGAACTATTTCTAATATAGCCATTCAGCAATGCTTTAGTAAAAAATAACAGAAATTCAAAAACATCATTTCAATTCTTAAATAGACATATTTGTTGAACAGATTTAACTTGAGTAATAACAAGTTCCAATAACAGAAGGATAGAAATTTGGGCACCTATTTTTTTTGTATTAAAGTATCATTGATATACAATCTTATGAATGTTTCACATGAACAACATAGTGGTTTCAACATTCACCTGTATTATCAAGTCCTCAGTGCCCGCCGCCCCCCCCATTGCAGTCACTGTCTACCAGCGTAGTAAGATGCTACAGAGTCATTAGTTGTCTTCTCTGTGCTGTACTGTTGGGCATCTGTTTCTATTGCTTTGGTTCTTTTTAAATTTTTGGTAGGTTTGTGAAAATAAATCACAATATGAAAATTGCAAAGGAAGTAAAATAGCCTGAATAATTCACAAATGGCTAAACTATGATAATCAACAGTTAACTACAGCAGGCATGACATACTCCTATCACTGCTTGAGAAAGTGGTTTTTCAAAGAAGTGGTTTTCTAGAAGTTGCTAATAAAAATCAGTGGAAATCTCATGAATTTTAAAGTTCTTAAAGCCAAAGAAAAAATGTTACGTGTTAAAACTGCTAATAAAATTTCTCTGAACTGTTACCGAAGAAATAGCACTCAGTCTTTAGAACATAAAGATGCCAAGATATGTTAAAATGCATAAGTAGAATATCTCACAAATAGTTATTTATAGAAGTTCAGCTACTTTAATTTGAAATTAAAATTTGAATGGGATTTATTCATAACATCACAGAATGTCAAAGTGCAATTTCAAGTGTTTAACTTCTTGTTGAAAACAAGCTTAATTTTAAACTCCTAAGTTTATAATGCATTAACTAAGCTTTAACTTGAATAATGCTTTAAATATATTCATAATCTTTTTTTAAGTATTTTTCAAAAAAGAACCATACTTATCTTCTGACATCTGTGCAAATTCAAATTGCTACAAAAGTGAAACAAAAATGTTCTTAGTTATAAGTCATTAGAAGGAAACCATATAAAATGTTAATTGAATTATTTCAACTTTAGAGAAAATTATGTGATTCACTTGTTTGTTCTGGATTAATATAAATCTTTTATTATAGTGATATGCAAAAAATTAAAAGGCATACTCAGTATGATGATAAATGAAAAATCTGGATCACCAAAAAGACAAATTAGAATCTGATCAGAT